CGGGCACGCGGTGGAGGGGTCGCCGAGGATGTTCGCCGCGGCGGTCCCTTCTGCCCAAAGGCTTTCAACGGCGCGCCTGCAGGCCCGCGAAGCTTATGGTGCTGTAGCTGCGTCGGCTGGGATGGCATGGGCCGGGCAGCGTTGGGGGTGGCGCTGGGCCCGCCGGCGCGGCAGCCGCCAGCTATGCCTGCGCGGCGTCGCCAGCGCAGGGGGCGTTCCCAGCAGAAGGTGTTGGCGCAGACGCCGATGCCGACGCCGTCGGCTCATTCGGCGAAGACATTGCTGCGGATGGCCCCGAGCTGCGCGACGTTCCAGTGGAACAGCGCGGCCTGCACTTTTCCCAGGTTTGCGAGCGCGCCAGATCAGCCAGCGTTGGTTCCATATAGGTAGGAAAACAGGAGGAGGACGAGAGGAGGATGGGAGGAGGGCGAAAGGAGGGCGGGAGCAGGGCGGGGGGATGACGGGAGGAGCAGAATCGAGCAAGCGCAAGCATGCAAGTGGAAGCAATCAAGCGGAAGCGAGCGTAGGCATAGGCGCAGGCATGGGCGCAGGCGTAGTCATATGAGTTCGGGGGGGCCATAAGCATAGGCGTTGGCATAGCCATGGCCATGGGGATTAGGGGCGGGCGGGGAACGGGCCAATCAGTCGGATTTGAGTTAGACCTCCTATAGGGCAAGCATATTTGGAGGAAGCACGCTGACACAGTTTCAACGACCGCTCCAGCGTCCGGGGGTCGTCGAGACGGAAGAGAAGGGGCCAAGGCAATGGCTGCCTTGCCTTCCTGGCCGACCGGTCCGAAAACGATTTCCAGGAATGTTGAAAGGCCGAGATAAAGGGGGAGTTCAGGGCCAGCGGCGCGCGTTCGGGCCGAGAAAGCAACCCCGTGGGCCCTGCCGGGGTGCGTCTCAAATGCCGCGGGTGCGACTCCGACGAGCGTTTCGTGCGCGACTGCCCCCGGCGCCGCAACCAAACTTAGGGCGCGCCCCTTTCCTTGGTGCTTGCGCCTCGGCGCAATCGCCGCAGTCGACGTCCTCGCCCTGTGCGCTTCAGGGGCAGCAGGGGCCGCCGGGTCCATCCGAGCAGGGGCCCGCGCCGGGGGCGTGCGCAGCTTGGATGACTAGGGGCACCCAGCAGCGACAAGTTGGCCGTTGCCGGTGGTCGCGATGGGTTGGTGCATGATTCTCGTCCTTGTCGTCGCCGAACTCTCGTGACGCCGAGCGGCGGCGACTGCGACGGGAGATGGCGGACCTCATGAGCGCGTGCAAGACTCTCCGCATCTGGCGCCCCCCGTGACTGCGTCGCCGGCCCGAGCGGCAGCGGCGGTGGAAGCGGCGCCAGCCGCGCCGTCGGCGTCCACGGCCCTGGCAGCTTCGCCGGGGCCACCTCGACCAACCAACGCCGCCGCGGTGGGCGCGGGTTGGCGGTCCGTTCCCATTGGGTCGAGCTCATGAGCGCGATCGGGTGAGTGACCGTTACGCGCGAGTCGCCGCGCCTCAGGCTCCGCCTGCCGATGTGCAATTGCCGAGCTGGGCGTGTGTGCCGTCGGTCTCGGCCTCGGCGTCATCGCCCCGCGTGGGTTCCACGTGGCCACCTCGGCCCGCCCCGGCAGTTGCGTCGCCGCCAGTGCCGGATTCTTCCCGGGAGCTGGGTCCGTTCAACCATAACGGCCCCGTCGACATGAGCCAGCCGTCAGGGGGAGTGGTTATGTGGTTTGCCGATCCGGGCACGACGTAGGCGCCGCCGTCGACTGCGCGCAGCGACGGCGCCTCGACGAGCTCCACAGCGCGCAGTTAGCACTTAAGTTCCTGCGGCCGTAGGACGAGCAGCCATGTTAAGCCGCGCGGAGTTGGACAGACCTGTCAACTCCTGTGCCGGCCGCAGCGCCTGTTGAGCACCCCCCCGGTCGCTGTTTTCACTGGCGACGATGAGTGCCCCGTCTGCTTCGAGACCTCCCATCGCGGCGAGAGGGTGGTGCGCTTGCAGTGCCGTCGCATCTTGCGCCATGCATGCCATCTGCAGCTGGTGCAGAACACAGACCCGATGGTGTGCTGTCAGGCGTGCCGCGGTCTGGCCGACGTCATCGCCGACTCCGCTGTGTTGGCGCAGATCGTGCGCCGACGGGTCCGGTGCTGGTGGCGTCGGCCCACTCGGCAGCGCGCGGGGGCGTGCCGGAGGAGACCCCGCCGCGGCAGGACATCGCGCAGTCTCCTCGACCAGGCCCCTGGCCCTGGGACGCCTTAGCCAGGCCTCGTGCAGTCGCCCGGCAGCGCGTCCAGCCTCGAGTCCGCGGTGGACGCGGCGGCGCCCTGCGGCGCCCGACTGGACTTGCGCGTGCCGCCATGGAGGCCGACGCTCTCGTGGTGGCCGACCTTGTTGGGTATAGGCTCGCGTGCATCGAACGGCTCGCCGCGCTACCTGGCGAGCTCCTATCTACCAGGTGGCTTGCTAGGCGCCGTGGTCCACTCCGGCGCCCGGGCGAACGCGTGGACGCTGC